CCAACCCCAGCTAAGCCTTCTTAATTCGAATCAGCCATTCTTGTTTTACAGTATTCGGCGACTTCAGGACTGCCACCGAAGACTAAGAACATTTTTACACCTAGTCCAGCGCCAATTTACTTCATTGGGGACTGTGGACGGCCAACATAGCTAGGTCGGTTGCGGGAGCCATTAAATCTGAATGAGACACCGAAAAATGGTTTCTTAACATGTTTTTGGACATTGTTTTTCCTTCTCTTTCTACTTTTTATTGGAATCATTGTCATAGCGCAAAAAACTAAATTCGGTTACCACCTCTTTTGTAAAACTTTCATTTATAGAGACACAGTAAGCTGAATTGCTTTCACACTTTCTCATATGACTCGTAAGACACGAATTTTAGGCAAATACAATAAAATACACTTCTCCTACTACGGGATAAGCATATATACTAAGTAAAACATTGACAATTAAAAAGAGCACTACAGAAGATTAAATTGGACTTCAAGCTGACAAAAGTGGTGTCCCGGTCAGCGCGGCCCTAAAGTGACTAAAGTTGACTGTGTCACGTAATTGTCTAAGAATGATAACATGGCTCAAAAAAAAATTTCAGACAGTGGCCGGACCACGTTGATCCACCAAATAAAGTTTTACGCTGTCACGTCTCGACGTTTTTGACTGGTCAAAATAAAGAAAAAAAGTTAACTCTTGACAGTCTGCAAGCCCAAAACTATCAGTTACTTGGTCTAGTCGTTGCTGAACCATTTAAATCGAGTTCAAAAAGTGGCTTAATGGACAAAGCGGCTCAAAACGTAGTCAAAGATAGCCTGATTTGCCCTCGTTAAGTCAAAACTGTAGAGCTGAACTTGTTTGTTCTTCATTGACTTACACTACGCAAGCATCCTTGCTGAACAGCATGCGAGAGCAAACCACCCCCTCCCCCCTCGCCATAGAGGTCAATGAAATCCCTCGTACCCAGATATCTTGTTGACGAAGCCAAAGGCGAGATCTGGCCACAGTTGTCGCGTTGAATTTGATGTTAAAAAGATAAAAAAGAACACAAAAATTGGTTGATACTTAAGATGTGCGCATAACCACGTTTTGATAGAAAAAACTTCACGGCTTTATCAAATTCGTTGTTTAACACGTCAAAAATCGAGGATTAATTTCAAGCATGCGCTCTTTCATGGCCTGTCACATTCCTACATTCCTGACTGGCAATCACGGGTACAAAATCGGATTTGACGAGATCTCACCTTCGGCTTCATCAATAAGTAAGAGATCTGAGTATGAGATTATGAAATCCCCCGCGAGTGTTATTTCATATTAGCGCGTTCTGGGTGGCTCTAGGGTCCATTTCAAAGAAAAAAAATTCGGGCTAAGCCGATCTCAGATCGGTCTAATTTCCAAAAGCGACCTCAATGTGAACGAGACCTAATCACAACTGTAGAACCAGAAAACATGAAAAGTCCGTTCGATCCTCGATCGAGTCTGAGATAACTGAGAGATCGAGAGAGACTTGCGCGTTTCTGACGCGTTGGCTCGTTTCAAGCGTTTAACAACTATATAGCGCTCATGTATACGATATTTTCCCCAAGGACGACGTAAAATTTATATTACATTCAATTGATTGAGAAAAAAATCAATCAGCGGGTTTAAAACAATACACTTAACGTTTCTTTTGTTCATGATTGTGACTTGCTTGCCGCCACGTTCAGCACAGTCCACAGATAGACACAAACGAAAAATAATGCAGCTTTGCCTTTGGCACGTTTGGATCTATCGCAGTCAGCTAAAAATTTCACAACACAGTCTTACGGGTACCTTTCTCTCTCAGCCTTTCGTTTTTGCTTGTGCTTTCCAATATCGTCTTTTTAAAAAAGAAAAAGTAGAAAAGAAAAATACAACAAACTTCAAACTGGTCTGATCGAAGAGGTGGCAAGATTACACTCGAATGCCGGTGGATGAATGAAAGAGGCACCCACCGCGTCTTTGCACGTGGTTGCTTTAGTGACAGCTGATTGGTACGGTTCTGGCAGTTCCTGGCTTATTTCTCAAATAAAGATTATCGTAACTATGAAACTGTTCTCAACAAAACTACTAGGACCAAATTAGGCACTAGGAGACTGTGAATTTCTTTTTTTTTTCTTTTTAGGTAAACTGTTGAACGCAAACGTTTATTTTCATTTGTGAACCAGGAGGACCAGGAAGGTTCAAGAAAAGGTTCACCCCAGGTGCACCTTTTCCAGTCCTATGTCAGGTCAAAAAGCTCGCATAAAATCGCTTTTGATTTTTTAAAGTTCAGCGAAGCGAGTGAACAACAAAGAATCAAACATAGCCAGAGGTCGAAGTTATTCATAACAATTCAATTTATACCTTTAAAACGCTGCGCTGTGTTCCCTTGAAAACCCCGAATTTTGTGATCCTCCTAGCCGCTGATAAGCAAGGGTTCCCTCGCTATTATAGAATTTTAATCATGTGACCGTGACCTCGACCTTTCATATGGAGCTCATGAACTATTGTTTTGACACCAGATATGCCGATATTATGTCGTCACGTTCAGGTCTATACCCTCGGGAGGCTTTCCATAGACTGATGGTTTTTCTTTCGAGCGAGTAGCTCAATTTAATCTGGAGTGGATCTTTAGTAAGTTGGATTCCGGATTCCAATCTTTAGTAGGATTCCGGATTCTTAGTGCTGGATTCTGGATTCCAAAACCCAGGATTCCGGATTCCACAAGCAAAAAATTCGTGGATTCCGGAATCCGGATTCCCTTACATGGGGCGAAGTACACTTTCACGTACCTAGTCCATTTTAAAATTTGCAACGCTTGGAATGTGGCCAACTTTCACTTTGTGAAAAAAAAATTAAATTCCCCGCCCAACGTAGCTACTTAATGTTAATTTGAAAATTGTAAAATCGACGCAGTTCAAAAGAGTTTTAACCGACGTTTCGGCACTGCTGCCTTCTTAGGGGTACAAGACTAAATGAGACTATTTTTGTACCCTGAAAAAGAAAGCATTGAAAATACGTCGGTTTAAAACTCCTTTGAACAGCGTCGACTTTACAATTCATTAGGGACTTCAAGATCCAACGACGCGGACGGCAACGAGAACGTCAAAAAAACAATAGGTTTAATTAGCAAAACCGCAATTTCGCACGTGCATCACACTTTTTTGTACATTTCTTTCCCGTTTTTGTACGACTGCGACGTGAAAATGCCTAATTTCGCGTTTTATGGAGGACGTAAACAAGCAACGACGATTATTATTATGATTATTATTTCTCTTTTTGAGCTTGGCTATGGTCCCTTGAAATTCAGCTTCAGGAGGGTTCGCCTACAATTGACAAAGTAAGTGGGTAGGAATAATCGCTATAAGACTGAAAGAACGCATATTCACTTTTTAAGCGACGTTCTTGTCGCCGTCGCGTCGTTGGGGTAATCACACTTCGCCATCCGTCAAAAGGAGGTCCCGTCGGAACTTCTTCCGATAATGCAATCCGACGTGACCCGAGTCGCCTTCGTGTTGTTGGCCTAAAATTAGCTTTGTGTGAGCTCGTCGGCCTGCAAACTGAAGAAACGGTTGTAGAAACGTTTTTAATTTATTATTAACTAAAGAATACGTCTAATCTGAAGAAAAAGCTATCTTTCTTTTTGCTGGGAGCAAGACTTTCCCAAAAATCTCTAAACCTCCCTTTCATGGATGGCTGATTACAACTACAACGGCGCGACATCGCTTGGCAATCCCTCAAAAGGAGGTTGTCTAAGAACCGGAAATTGGAAGATTCAAAGGGCAAACAAACAGTCAAAACGTACTGTGTTATGTTTGGTATGCGTATTCAAAACACTTTTCATTGCTGAAGTAAATGTCAAAAAGACTATTTTTTTAGGAAACCCGCGCTCTTTTCTTTTCAGTAATCCACAGGCCCAGGTCTTTATTCTTATCTGAAGAACTGAACTTTCAACAAAAACTCAAAACCTCCTTTTGATGGATGGCTAATTACAACTAAAAGGGCGCAACATCGCTTTGCAATCCCTCAAAAGGAGGTTGTCAAACTGAACCGGAAATTGAAAGGTCGGTTATGGATGATTGAATCTCGCCGAAGAGCAAACAAAGCCGGGAAACTGGCGGGAAATTCGTCTTCTTGTTGTTCGCCGGGGTTGTTCCAGCTGTTGTTCCCTTCCAGTTTCAAAGCAAGGGGATATATGCCTGAGATATGTGCCTCTGGAGCTGTTTGAACACATTTTGCACTTACCTTCCGGCCACTTCACTTGCAGTCTAATGTCATTTGCCAAAAAAATATATATATTCTAACATGGCTAAAACTAAGTTAATATGAGGGAGATCTGTTGCATCATGGTTGATTGCATTGAACAGCTGCTACGGTAACCCTTACTGAATAACAACAGCAACTGCACTGACCCTTTAATAACAGCAACAATAGCTTTATTTGCACGGCTATATTTTTTTCAGTGGTGCAAATTGGCCTCTGAACAGGAACTAATCACGATTTAGACCTCACTTAGATATCTGATTACCAGCACCCACATTTTTTATTATTTTGTACATACAACACAGATAAAGACAGTTTTTCGCACAATTACGTATCCTTACAGCCATCAACGGTTTTCATGTACAGACAAGCGGCCATTTCACCTTTCATTGTATTTCATATGCCACACGTACTACATGGTTCCTTACAAGGGATTCAACGGCATTGATATTGGAAAAAGGCAGTGTCACCAAGGCCAACAAACAAAAAATGAAAAATAACCAGGGCTCCGTTTTTGTTATATTTAGTTGTCCGGGCCTCTTACTCCCACGAAAAAAATTTAATGATAGGAAACTGGATTATAAGTTGCTTTCTCGTTAACGAGTCTTGGTTTCCTGTTAGGTATTTCAAGATAATTGTATCGTTTTTTAGAGCAAGAATTGCGTGCTTGTAGTCAAAGATAACGTTAAAATTTTGACTGAAATGATACAACCTCAATGACAATTCCCCTTTAAATAAGCTACTGTTTAATTATCTTTGTTCACTGCTCCCAAAATGGTTCTCTTTCCTGTTTTTGCCTTGTTTGGTTTATATTTTGGGCACTTCCATGGCAGCTTTGATGTGATGGCCCATTGTGGGGCTAAGGAGCACTGAGGATGATACCAACCACGGCATGAACAACACTGTATGCACTCTTGCTTGTTATTTAAGAGCCTACAAAGACAAAAGATTGGCACAGAATTCCTGTTGCAAGATAGATGGCAGTGCACTCTTCTGTTGGTCTTGGGGAAAGGTTTCATTTTCCCTGATTCTAGGCAGCTAACAAAGTGTTGGCGCATCTCGAATTGGCTGTACCTCTGTGTTGCTGGATCTAAACCATGGCACAAGTCGGTTGCAAAAGCTAAGGCCATGAGACCGCAGTCGCTGCCGCCAAGCTGCTTTTGCACCTTTTCATTGCAGAATGTTACAGTGTCCTGTTGGTAGAAAAGCATGCGGCAAGCGTGGTCAATCAAAACTGAATTGGGCTTGCTGTACAAGCTATCAAATATTTTTACTATGCCAGCCTGGCAACCAATGGTGCTTATGCACACCCAGTGTTTATCCACGTTAATTATCTGGACAAACTCGGATGTGGCCGGAATAACAAGTGATCCTTTAACAGCAGGATCCTGAAGTCCATCGATGAATGGAAATTCCTTCTTCAGCAGTACTTGTCCTGCATGTATTTCAGAGTCATGGAGCCAGTATGTGGGCTTTAGTATACCAAATTTACTTTGTTGGCCTTGGTGACACTGCCTTTTTCCAATATCAATGCCGTTGAATCCCTTGTAAGGAACCATGTAGTACATGTGGGCAAATGAAATACAATGAAAGGTGAAATGGCCGCTTGTCTGTACATGAAAACCGTTGATGGCTGTAAGGATACGTAATTGTGCGAAAAACTGTCTTTATCTGTGTTGTATGTACAAAATAATAAAAAATGTGGGTGCTGGTAATCAGATATCTAAGTGAGGTCTAAATCGTGATTAGTTCCTGTTCAGAGGCCAATTTGCACCACTGAAAAAAATATAGCCGTGCAAATAAAGCTATTGTTGCTGTTATTAAAGGGTCAGTGCAGTTGCTGTTGTTATTCAGTAAGGGTTACCGTAGCAGCTGTTCAATGCAATCAACCATGATGCAACAGATCTCCCTCATATTAACTTAGTTTTAGTCATGTTATAAGAATATATATATTTTTTGGCAAGTGACATTAGACTGCAAGTGAAGTGGCCGGAAGGCAAGTGCAAAATGTGTTCAAACAGCTCCAGAGGCACATATCTCAGGCATATATCCCCTTGCTTTGAAACTGGAAGGGAACAACAGCTGGAACAACCCCGGCGAACAACAAGAAGACGAATTTCCAGCCAGTTTCCCGGCTTTGTTTGCTCTTCGGCGAGATTCAATCATCCATAACCGACCTTTCAATTTCCGGTTCAGTTTGACAACCTCCTTTTGAGGGATTGCAAAGCGATGTTGCGCCCTTTTAGTTGTAATTAGCCATCCATCAAAGGGAGGTTTTGAGTTTTTGTTGAAAGTTCAGTTCTTCAGATAAGAATAAAGACCTGGGCCTGTGGATTACTGAAAAGAAAAGAGCGCGGGTTTCCTAAAGAAATAGTCTTTTTGACATTTACTTCAGCAATGAAAAGTGTTTTGAATACGCATACCAAACATAACACAGTACGTTTTGACTGTTTGTTTACCCTTTGAATCTTCCAATTTCCGGTTCTTAGACAACCTCCTTTTGAGGGATTGCCAAGCGATGTCGCGCCGTTGTAGTTGTAATCAGCCATCCATGAAAGGGAGGTTTAGAGATTTTTGGGAAAGTCTTGCTCCCAGCAAAAAGAAAGATAGCTTTTTCTTCAGATTAGACGTATTCTTTAGTTAATAATAAATTAAAAACGTTTCTACAACCGTTTCTTCAGTTTGCTGGCCGACGAGCTCACACAAAGCTAACTTTAGGCCAACAACACGAAGGCGACTCGGGTCACGTCGGATTGCATCATCGGAAGAAGTTCCGACGGGACCTCCTTTTGACGGATGGCGAAGTGTGACTACCCGTCGTTGGATCTTAAAGTCCCTATTTTGGCCGAGCGCGACCTCGGGTTTAGTTTAGTTTTGCAAAATTCAAGATGGCGGATCAATGTGCAGCTACCGAAGGTGAACTAAATTTCCATAAAAGATGCACTGAAGGGTTGCGAGAGAAATCAAAATTTCAGCGGGGAATTTGAAACGCACATACCCTAAAGGATTTAGGCAAGACATTCCACGAACTGAATAAGCTGGCTGAGTCAGTTGTGAAAGGGAATTTTGGCGCGCTTCGCGAGCGCACCAATTACTACAGGATCGGCGAGATTATGTCCTATGCTTTAACGAAGCATGGATCGCGCAAAGACCGCAATTATTCACCGTCTTAGTCCAAAAATGAGCATAGTGCATCCGTGGATGATTTGCTTTGACCTTCGCATGCCTCATGAGGTCTTTGATCTCTTGAACAAGGAGATTCTTGGTCTTGGTCTGACAAGATTTGGGATAGATACACCAGGTTCAGTGACTATAACATTTTCAAACCTGAGAAGATTATCGTATCTCTACGACTAGTTCCAAGATTGTGGTGGGTTTAGAAAGCAACTTGGTAAAGGAAAAAGAGAGGCAAAGCTTATTGTGAACTCCGAGAAGAAGGAAAAATGGTCTACAATGCGAAAGAGCAGATTTTGAGAGCAAAAATTTTTTTTATGGATACTGGAATTCGTATGGGATTAGTCAGGATTAGTCGGTTAACCGATTAGTCAACAATGAATAGAGGATGCAAGGTTGAATCATACAGTAACAAGTATTTCCCTAATACTTCATTGACAAAAACCTGTCAACCTTTGTGCTTGGATGATAACAAAAAAGACAGAATGCCTACCATGGATCATTGCAATTATTCCTTATGTTTCACATTTTTTTTGAGAAATCCCGAAAATTGTAGAAATCCCAGTTTTTGCTGGGCACCCTTCTACCTCCTGTAACACTTGACTTAATTAATTTTAGCAAAAACTGCGATTTCTCCAATTTTTTGCAATTTTTGGAGAAATTGCAGAAATTGCAGTTTTTGCTGGGCACCCTTGTACCTCCTCTAACACTTGTGGTAATTAATTTTAGCAAAAACTGCAATTTCTCCAATTTTTCGCAATTCTTGGAGAAATTGCAGTTTTTGTTGGACACCCTTCTACCTCCAGTTGACTTAATTAATTTTAGCAAAAACTGTGATTTCTCCCATTTTTTTGCAATTTTTGGAGAAATCGTAAAAAATGGCAGAAGTCGCAGTTTTTGCTGGACACCCTTCTACCTCCTGTAACACTTGACTTAATTAATTTTAGCAAAAACGGCGATTTCTCCAATTTTTCACAATTTTTGGAGAAATCGCAGAAATTGCAGTTTTTGCTCGACACCCTTGTACCTCCTGTAACACTTGACTTAATTCATCATAAGCTAGAGGCCCGATTTTATTGCTCACACCAGGAGACCCCTTTTCCATGGTAACGAACAAGCTTTGCAGTCAGGCGCTCAATGCGGGGGGGGGGGGGATGGGTTGTGAAGTTGTTTCAAAGGGGATTGACTGTGACGGCACCTTTGATCTTTGGAATATTTCTGAGGGGTTTAAGAAAAAATGGCTATTTCTGTTGGGGGAGGCAGGGGTACTGTGTCAGTACCTTTGATCTTTTTTTCTTTTCTTTTAGAACTCAACAGACACTCCGATCTTGCTTTCCAAACGCAACATAAAGGCACTTCGGTCTGTGTTGTTTGATAAAGTTTGAAGCCTCTTTGACATCACCCAAATACAAGATTTTCCTGGTTATGAAGTTTCTCTTGAAAGTGCCCTAACATGGATTATCAGGGAGTTGAGATTACATGGTGTGCAGAAAGAAATAATTGACCTAAGCCTCAAGCTTGATGGTAGGCCATTTGCAGGTGAGAACGCAATCTTTACTAAATACAGTGTAACTTATTTCCAGATTTCTTTATTGTATTTTGCAACAACTGTGTTGCACTTAAGAAAGAAAAACATAGAAACAAAATCAACAGTGAAATTGGGTTAAAAATTATGACACCAAGGGACATACCATAGTGTCCAAATTATTTCTTAACTGCTGTGACTGAAACAAGTTCATCCTAATGAAACCCTGTGATCTTTTATCATTAGTGTAGTCTTGGACTGAAATAGTCTTTTTCATCAGTATTCTTAAACATTTACCGTTCCATATCCATAATTTTCACTTGAAAGATATTCAGTCATAGACAGTGCAGAGATAAAATAATGTAAAGCAGGGACACACCATTCCTGCCTAATCATGAGAGCTACCAATCAGTGTGCCCTTTAGCTATTGCTAATTGTAAGGAAGACAGGTATGTTGTATTTAAATTTGATTCATTAGTCAAATAGTTATTTGTTTCCAAAATAACTAGTTTTGTTAGTGCAAATTTTTTTTGTACCTTTTAGACTGTGTAATTTTTGGTTGTCAACCAGTTATACATGCAAGCTGAAATAATTTGTGGATTTACAACAAATTTATCATATGAGGCCTAAAGGCCCCAGTAAATTATCATTTTTGAAAATTAATTTACCGCAAAGGTCTTAATTTATTAGTGGGCCACTCAAACCCGACCTTAATATGTTTTCAAGTCTTAAGAACTATCTGCTGCAGACTAGACTAGCAGTATGGTATTTCATTTTCCTTTTTTTTTTCATTTTAGTAATAACTTCAGTTTACTGGTAACTTTACTTTTGATTATTATTAGGAAAAAAACCTAAAAAAGCTGATTGTTAATGCAAGTCAACAAACAAAAGGATGCACTAAAGAAGAATGGAATCACAGTGGATGGAGTGCATTATGCTGTGAGATTTAAAGGTAAGTTTCACATAATAATTAATAAGGTATTTTTTAGTACCATAATTTTCAATCCAAATGCCTTCATGTACATTGACCACTCTTTTCAAAAATTTATATCTACAGTTATACTTGACCTGAAGACCCTCTATTTTTTGCTGGAACAAATAGGGAAAGCGACCCTTAAGCTTGGGAAACGAGGAACTGAAGTAGATTGTTGCTTTATCTGCAAAGCATTGAGGGTATGTGGATATATTCAAAATCTCCGAGTCAACAAATTCTACTATGCAGGTTTTGACCTTACCAATGACCAACTTACTAATATATTACTATTAGATTTTCAGTTGTGCTGGGTAAAATTTCTCAGAAAAACCTAGCTATGAATAATGGCTATTTTTATGGGATGTTGCGATCTTGGTCCACATACAGTTTGTTTGAAACACTTTAGCATGTCCAAGGCCAATATTGGAGGGTAATTTAGTTATAGTTTTGGTTTACTAAGAATTCTCCGATGATACTTGTTGAGGCATGCAGCCCTTGATTACTCATGAATTTCATCATTTGTAGTTGTCATTTTGAATTCACAGTAACTTCTAATTCAAAACATTAAGGGTATCTCAATACGGTTAACCTCTATTCAAAAAATTATATTCCCTGGTATAGTGAGTGAATTTATAGTGAGTGAGTGAATTTTTTTTTTTTTTTTTTTTGTATCATATATATCGATTTTAGCTTAACCTTTTTTTATTTTAATTGTATTATATAATATACATCTCGTAATTAGGACCTCTATGTAAACCACTCTTGTGATGGAGCATCCTATTAAAAGATTGTTATTATTATTAATCCCTTCATCCCAGCAGTTATAGCTTAACAAGTATGTTTTCTGTAAAAGACTCACTTTTTATATAGACCTCATTTTGGCAATA